TAATTTTATCAATTATCATATAACAATCAAATAATTTTTATGAATACGAATTATATATTTTACAGAAAACTATAAAATATTGATAAGGACATCAGAAAATATCTTTTAGACATTGTGGGATGAATAATATGAAGATTAAATTTTAGTATAATTTTATATTTAAATAGATGGCGTTAAATAATTGAATGCAAATTGTTTCAATATTTATTATGAAGAGCATAGATTAGTAAAATTTGTTAATATATAAACTGTAATATATTATCTAATGTCAAACATGTCTGTAAAAGTGGAATTTTACCTAGTATTTTGTAACTAATTATATATAATAGAGGAATATCAACTATATGTCTATATATTTTTATAAATAAATTTCCTATACTTGTTTGGAATAAATTATTACCATGCTTTTATATTAATGTATATACAAGTAATTTATTATATTATATATAAACTAATAAAAATATATTTCATATTCGTTCCGGGCTTATAAAATAACCTTCTATTTTTGATAATATTATAGGTATTGTCCTTCTAGTTCGTATTTTTTTTAATAGGTGTTTTGTTTTCCAAACAAATATCAAAGCTTATAAATTTAGAAATTAAAGTATATATTATTTAATTTACATATAATAATTTATATTTTTAAGAAAACTAAACATAATAAAGATTGTATATTTTATGGAGGATATGATAATGTGTTCCATAAATCTGGAAAGAAAGCAATCTATTACACCTGCAGAAGAAAATGTGGAGGAAGAGCTAAACTTACTGTTACTCAATTTAGCATCACCATCAAACATTTAGAAACCTGCAAACCAATCCAAAGTAAATAATTTTGATTAATATTTAATCTTAAATTATATCTTTAATTACTGAATTAATGCTTGTGTATTTATAATTGTATCAAATGTATGTACTGCAGAATGCCAAAGTAAAATATCAAATACAATAATTTTTCAAAGCTATTAATCTACAAGGTCCAGTTTTAGATAACACAAATAGTCCAGTTTTGGATAACACAAATTGTCCAAGTAAATTTTAATTATATTGGTATAACTATTTTTTTAACAAAGTTATGAACCAAGAGGTCTTGGAGGAAATAGATGCCCATAACAGAAATACCATTAGTCCAAGTAAATAGTATTTTTTAGATATTTATATCATTTTTAAACAAAGCTATTATTCAAAACAATTCTAACAATCAAATGGTTCAATATAGTTTGATTAAATCTAAATACAACAAAAATATTATCTATTCTAACAAATATTTAATTCAATTTATACATTATAATGCAAAAAAAAGGAGATTGCATTTTTGTATATTAATTTAAATTTTTATTATGAGATATTTGGTATAAATTTTATTAATATTTTATCAAAGATATATTTATAATACAATTGTGCTGTCTATTATATATTAATAGATCTAGAGTATTAAGAGTTTGCTAAAATATTGTAAATTATTTGCAATTTATTTTTTAGTATATACTGTTCTTGTATTAATATAAATATTAATTACCATTTAGCTATTTAAATATAATTTAAAATAAAAAGCATTGTTTAATTTTTCAAAATTATACAAATTTATAATCGCTTCAAATATATTTATGGCCATTTTAGGTCATTTGACGTTTTTTCATAAATATTCATACGAAGAGGTGGGCCCTAACCATATTATAGACTAAGGTAACCCGGCCGAAGGCCAGGCAAAAGCGGGCCAAAAACCAGTTTAAAATGGGGTCTGGGGGCGAAGCCCCCTGGAATTTTTTAACCCACCCCCCTTAGGAAAATCCTGACTACGCCTATGTACGGAAACCTTCTATATTCCTTATCTCTACCACACTCCTGCATACTCTACTTATGTTTCCCTCCTGCCCACACCTAAAACACCGTAATCCTTCACTACTCCCCTTCCACTACCTATACCTGCAATCTCAGCACTCCTCTCTATTCTAAACCCCATACTACAACCACCTTCACAGACCTTTCTAATACTCAACTTACCTACCCAAAACCCTATATAATACACTCAGGCTTGTTAATCGATCCTTTTAAAAAGATCGAATCCCGATCACGATCTTTTGAAAAAAAGAGGGTCGAAATCCAGGATCAATATTTTTTTTAAAAAGGATCACGATCCTTTTCTTATTTAAATTTCTGATCGATGCAAAATTAACTAATATAAAAAATAATTAAGCGATGGGATACAAAAGGTGACCCTCTAGGTTCCTTTTTGTTCTGTCTGGGCATTAATAGTCTAATACGAGACATTAATGACCAATGCAAGCCTATTCATAACTGGTATATCGACGATGGTATACTAGGCGGCCCACCGACTAAAGTTATGTAGGCAATCCAAATAATAAAATCCAGCGAGAAAAGTTTGGGACTTCGAGTTAATTAAGACAAAAGCGAATATTGTCCTCTTGGGATCATTGACCTTAACCGCAATATATATTCAATCATCTCGGATCTCCAGTAGATAAAGACGAGTCATTTATCAAGTTCTTTGCCGATATTTCACGAGAGATAACCTTTATGCGCGATACACTATCTCGCCTCCCAGCTCACCAAGCTTTCTTCTTATTAAAAAACTACCTTCTAATTCCAAGAATTTTATATCTTTCAATATGACGTCAACCTCGCTGAACACGAACTGGAGATTAAACGCCTTACAGAAGATATACTCAATCTTAAATTTGGGGAATTATCATGGTAACAGGCTACTTTACCAATCAAATCCGGCGGCAGGGGCATAAGATTACCTTCTTTACTTTCCGTTAGTGCGTTCATATCCTCTCGCCTGTCCTGCGAGTCCATCATACAAACACTCACCAAACATCCTGACTCCTTCTCCTACAGGCAATTGATCTATGGAAGTCCCTCTCATTAGTCGATCCTTCATTGTCGGCACTACAGAAGGATTGGGATAAACCTCTAGTTGGCCGTTGCTTTCCTTAAATCGGAGCCAATCAGAGGACCATTCTCTACTCTTCTCCATTTCCATAAGTAGTGGATACGAATTCCTTGAGGCTTTCCCATCGTGAAACCTTGACCAGCTCCTAAGCAATGATGAACTACGTCACGCCATAGGTCTTAGACTTAATCGCGATATGGTAATGCCTTATCATTGTATCCTTTGTTAAACGTCGGTCAACTCCAAAGGCCGTCACTCTCTACACTGCAAGCGCTGTAGAGGTAGATTCATTAGGCATTCAAAATGCAATGATACCATTGCCAGGGCCTTAAAATTCGCCGACATCCCATAAACCCTCGAACCTACTGGCCTTTACAATTCCGATGGTAAGCGGCCCGATGGTTTGACTATGATCCCTTGGAAGTGGGGGGAATTCCTAACCTGGGATTTCTCATGCATAGATCCTCTTGCCCCTTCCAATATAAATAGAGATGTCATACTAGATGCCGAGGCGAATAAACCAGCTAAATATTCGCCATCTCTTGGCCAATTTTACATCCCTACCATTAATCGCCACGACTCTAACGTCGTTCGGCTCTCATGCCCTGACCTTCTTTAAAGAGCTGGGAAAACGGATTTCTGCTAGGGTCAAGGATCCCGACGAGGGATTCTACCTAGGCCAAAGATTAGCCATAAACATAGTAAAATACAATTATCTCAACTTTATTTTTTCAATATCCGAAACCCCCTAATTGAACACTATGCATAGGATAGACTTTGTCCAATTTGCTGCCTATTATAATGTTAACGCTAAAAGGGTACTTGAATCTCAATCAATAAAAAATAGCAAGAATTAATAACTTTATATAATTGTGATTTACTAATATTATATTTTTTTTACTATTATAACTTACCTTGTAATAACATATTATTATAATATATATATGGATTATATATACAATGTTCAGATAAAATATTTAATTAATTTATTGTAATTGAATAATATAATATAAGTATAACAATTAGAATATATTTATTTATAATTAAATTAGCCATTAATAATAAAACTTTTTCTAAATTATCATCATTTAAACCCATGTTTTTCATTAAGTACATGTTTAGTTTTACAAAACAAGCGCTCTACAGCGCTTGATGGTAAAGGTGTGTTATATTCAATAAAGGTTTTTTTTTAAATTAATATAATTATTAAAAATATTCACTGAATCATCATTAGAATAAAAAAAATTATTAATGGAAAGAGCATTTTGGTGACGAGTTTTTCCCATAAAAGGTATCGATCCATGCATTCATTTGAAGGATCTGCATATGGTTGACCCTGTATTTTAGCAACAATTTGTGGCATATTAATAAAAGGCCAATTAAGCTTAAATTTTGGGTGAATTATTGATGCCAATATTTTACTGTCATCATATAGTGAAGGAAATCTATAATTTTTATTATATGCATATGGTTATGATCTTCACAAATATTAAAAATTGTATTTTTAAAAGAATTAATTACTTCTAAATGCCTCTTTAGGTTTGAACTGCAAATCTTTGAAGAAGATATTTTGTTTTTGCATAAAGAGCATTTTGCATAGATCATTGTATGGTTACTCCATCCGTTTTACATAAAGTAAAATACTTACGTAAATTATGAAATGGTAAAAGATTCTCATTGTCACTTATATCTGCTGTCACATCAATAGAAGTAGATATATCATCTTCTAAATCTATAATGGAGGACATTATTAAAACCTAGAATTTATATTATAATATAATTAATATAACTTGTTCTTACAAAAAATTTGGGAAATTGATATAAAATCTGGTGGAAAGGTGGTTTATAAAATATGATGTAGAGATATACAGGCTTGTTAACCGATCTATTTAAAACGATCGAATCCCGATCACGATCTTTTCGAAAATTGAGGATCGAAATCCAGAATCGACTTTTTTTTAAAAAAAGATCGCGATCATACCTTTTTTTCTATTTAAATTTCTGAAGGAAATTTCTGACCGATGCAAAATAAACTAATATATGTTATAAATTTATTGTAATAATAATAATAATATAACCGATGCAAAATTAACTAATATAAAAATAAATTAAATATGATAGAAATTTATTGTAATTGAATAATAAATATAACAATTATAATATATTTATTTATTTTCATTTAGAACATGTTTAGCTTTACTAAACAAGTGCTCCACAGGAGCGCTTGATGGCAAAGGTGTATTATATTCAATAAATATTTTATTTAAATTAATATAAGTATTAGAAATATTCATGAAATCATCATTTGAATAAAAAATTTTTTTAACCGAACAAGCATTTTGTACAGTATTTTTCCCAAAAAAAGCATCTATGTCATCCATACATTCATTTGAGGTATCCGCATATGGTTGTTCCTGCATATTTTCCAAATGGGCAAATAATCTTTCTTTTACCATCATATTTTGTGGCAGATTAATATAAGGCAAATTAAGTTTAAATTTAGGGTGAATCATGGCTGCCAAAATGTTACTGTCTTCATACAGTGAAGGAAATCTATATTATGAAATTATAATTAATTTTTTATTAAATAAGTCTTCATTTTATTCATATAAATCAAATCAAGTATCTGCAAAACTTAACCCTTTTAAATTTTACAGTCAAGTTTGGCACATCCTCTGTATGGTATTTATTTATATTTGGGTCATATAATAAATATTGATTAAATGTAAACTTAATACTTAATATACAAAGAAATTAACATGTAATTTATTTACAAAGAATATTAATCAAAATATTAGCTTAAAATTCAAATAATCTAATAAATTTTTAATGTCTTCAAAGGCCCATTAATATTTTACTAGATATCAGAGGTTTAGTAGAACTGGCCTGTTAAAAATATTTTACTAAATTTGCCAGATCTTTGCAATTTTTTTAATATATCAGATATCTGATAATATAAAATAATTGTATAAAATAATATTACCTTTTATCAATACCTCTAAGAACACTATCTACAAGGGGCTGACAATACCGCAGGCAGCTAAATTTCGTTAATTTATCTATCAATATCGATAGAACGGGAATTAGATATCCCTGCTTCATATTATCATCCCGTTCCAAGATTTTTAACGAGATCGCCAAAGGTTCCATAACCTATAAAATTTAAATTTATTTAGAGAATATCATTCTATTACTGTTGCATACTCTTTAACAAAAAAACATTCCTCTTGCTTAAACATTGCAAATCCAATTTAATCACATACTTATTCTACTTCTGAAAACTTTTCAGAAAGCATCTCTATTAATTTCATGGATTGGTAATAAGAATTCCATCTTGTCTTGTTGGGAGCTATTAAATATCTTCCCAATTTCTCCAATAAAATATCCGCCATTTTTGACGACATATTTTGTTTATTAACTAAAGCAAAACATTTTGCAAAAGTGGAACTAGATATTCGTTTATAATTGAGATCACAGGAATAATTGGGTCATCAACGGATAATATGTCATTCAAATTTATCAATTCCATATCCTCACTACTATCTTCTTCATTTTCTCCAAAAACTCTAGAAAAAATAAATTTATTTAAATATTTTTTGCTAAATATAAATATTACTTAAATGCCTTGACAAAGTTGGTTCCATTGTCAGTCACCATCTTCACCACCTTATTAGGAATTTTATAGAACTTGTGGATACCCATGATTTCGTTGGCTAAAACATCATATGTTTGCCTCCCAATTATCCTCCTCAGTGCCAAAGCGGCTGACCTTCTCTTGAGGGTTAACGGATCCAGCCAATGTGCAGTAAGTCCTATAAAAGCCCTAATAAAATAAACATTATAAAATTCATATAAATATAATATACCTTCGATGACCACTCCAGCAATCAGCAGTGGTGCATAAATAAGAAACTTCAGACAAATCTCTTATAAGATTTGTCGTCATATAAGAGAAGGAAGTAGATATCCTGTTGCTCAGTGTTTGGCGACAAATAATTTTTGTCGCAGGAGAAAAAGTTTTAATCATTTTTTCAAATGAAGGATCATCAACCAGAGACAATGGTTGGAAGATGTCAATAATAAAATCCATGATAACCTTGTCTGCTGTTTTTTGCGATATAGCCGGAATGTTAGATTGTTAAAATTTAATTTAGATTGTCTGGATTTGCAACCAGAACCACTTTTGTTTTGCAGTGATATATTTTTGTGTGTAGAGTTGTTGAGGTGTTTGGTAATCTCATTTTTAAATTCACTGTGCTTTTTCTTTATAAAAGAAAAAAATAGTATGTATCAAAGTTGGATGAAAATAACTTCTCCTGAATCGAATTTCATTTTTAAAATTTTATATAGAAATTTAAAGTTAAAAAAAAACAATGTACAGGCTGAATGTAAAACCTATATAAAGAAAAAAATGATAAAGGGTTCAACAAATTGTTAAACATATTAAAGTATATTATTTAATTTATATATGGTTAAAAAAGGTTCATATAGGTTATTTTAAATTTTAAGTTTACAATATTGTCTTTATCTTCATTATTAAAAGTTGCCCAAGATGATATGGGCTAAAGATTTTGATAAAATATTTTTCCATAAATGATAATTAGCCTTTTTAACATTTAAGAACTATGGATTAAGTGTTCAACAAATTTTGTTAAACATATTAAAGTATGTTTTATTAGTGGTTAAAAGGGGGTAGGTTATCTTAAAAATTTAAGTTTACAATATTGTCTATCATTATTAAAAGTTGCCCAAGATGATAAAAGATTTTGATATTTTCCTATTATGAATATAATGAGGCTTTTTGGCATTTAAGAACATACGGATTGAGTCAAATGATACAAAAAATTTCAATTCAAAATATATTATTTAAAAAAAGCCCTAAAAATGTTGTCAAGAGGATTATATAATCAAGCTCAAACTGACTATAATACTAATTGATTAGATTTAACATATTATAATAAAGAAATAATAGAATAGATATTTATTTTTCTTTTGGTGAAACATTGCTAAGTTCAATACAAATAACATTTAACTGGATGTTTTAATTATATTAAAAAAAGTCAAAATACATTATAAAGGCTTAATTATTAGTTATTACACTTCCATTCATTATAAATACTCTTCTTTTGAAAATTAAACTAATATAATAGTTAAAAAATAAATGCCTAATTATTATATATAAATTACAAAACAAAATTAAGATTAACTCTTCATCAAATATTTTATTAATTATACTGTATCTAATAATTCATTTTTTTTATAAAGAATCTGTATCTAGATTTTATTTCTGTAGGACCTGTTCAACTCAGGAATGTAATAAATTAAATTTAAACATGTTGACATTAAGATTATCAAATAAAAAAAATTTAAAAAAATTACTTGTAAATGTCTCTTTAAGTTCGAGGATGATATTTTGGAAGATGATATTATCTTCTTACAGAGACGGCATTTGGTGCTGATCATATTATAAGAGTTGCTTTCATCCATTTTACATAAAGTAAAATACCTACGTAATTTCAAAAATGGTAAAAGATTCTCTTTCTCACTCATATCTGCTGTTACATCAATAGTAGAAGCAATAGAATCTTCTAAATCTATAATGGACATTTACATTTACCTATTAAAATAAATATTAATATATTATTATAAATTTATATTAAATAACTTGTAAGAGCTCTAAATCTCGTAAAATTTAGGAAATGAATAAATATATCTATAAAATAAATGGTGGAATGGAAGTTGATAAAATATGAAGAAAGATATTTTTTTAAAAAATAATATTTTAATTTAATTTTCAAAATTTTTATTTTTTATTGCTTTTTAAGTAAAAAATTAATTTTGAAAAAGATCGAGATCGAATTTTAAACAAAATGATCGCGATCACGATCAACATTTAAAGGACATGATCTTAAATCCGAGAAAATTGACAAATTTAGGATTGAATCCAGGATCGGCGATCTTTTGATTCGATCCTTTAACAACTCTGAATACACTATTATAAGCACTAGTAAAATATCACCAGTGCTAAAATATGTAACTGATTAATGGTATAATATATTTTGCCATTGTTACCCCTATCTTTTATAATAAAGAAATTAAAAATTTAATCAAGTAAATACTAAAAAACTGATTTGAAAACAATAGAACAGCTGTTAAGATCAACAAGGTATAAATGATGTAACACATTAAAATCTAAATTAACCTGATACTTCTAAATATGCCCAGTTCTTGGGTTTCGTGTACCAATTGTAGTAATCATATCGATTGTAATTGTCATAAACGTATCAAATATAATTGACAATAAGAATATGTTGTATCAAATATGAATATAATGTATCAAGTAAACAAAATCGGTATCTATATATTTTATATAATAATAATAATAGTAATTGACAGCCCTTCACATCTTCAACGTCATCACGACAAATATATTGTTTATTTATAAAATAGATGAAATCAATTTATTTTTATTATAAGTATCTATGAATAATATATAAGAATAATAACTCATTTCTAAATATATTATTAGAACGCAATATATTTTTAATATAAGTGGATTTATATTTGTTCGTTGCAAATTTTAGCCCCAAAAGGCCTTTTTAACGGATATTGTGTTGCGGGCAGTGTTGTTAAACGCTACTTTTATAAGTAGCCCGCTATCGCTATCGCTATCGTTTTCAAATAAGTAGCGAGCTATTAGCTACTTTTTACGCTATTTTAATTTTTTTAAAAATATTTTTTACAAAACTTTATTTCCGCAAATAAAATATTGGTATAAAAACATGACTCTAATTTGTTACATATATATATATTATATATAATTTATTTAATATTGCACTTTAATAATAATAACATTTTGTACTCGACGATCAGATAGTATAAGCTTTACCAAATCGTTCAGCACTAACACTTGAGGGCAACGCAGTATTAAATTTAATAAACACACTTTTTATATGAAAAAATTATCAAAGATATTTAAATGAGTATTTTTATATTTAAAAAAAGCATCTAGAGGGTCAATAATAATATTATTATTATTTATTTCAAAAAAATCGTCTATGGAAGGCTGTTTCGATCTTGCTATAGTATTAGTATAGTGGTCAGGCATGACATTTTCAACGTTACCATCAGCCTATCCAGTTGCCCTTTAGATTCAGTCAAATTAATATATGGCCAATTTAACTTGAAACTAGGATGAACGATAGCAGCTAATACATTATCATCATCATACAGATCTGGAAATCTAATTTAAATAAAGCGATTGTATTTATTATAAAAAAAGAATATCTTTTTAATTTTAAAAATTTAAATTTATCTGAGATTTAGATTCATTTATAAAATTAATAATATATTAATTTTGAATTTTATATTAATACTATATATTAATATAATAGATTGTGTTGTAAATTAAGCCAATTTAAATTATGGCTAATCAAGCAATAAATCATTCATTTTATATCATTGTATAATAGAAAATAAAAATAAAGTTTTGACCTTTTCTCAATGCCTTTTAGCATAGACAGCGTCTACATGAGCAGGAGGGGTAGGAACAGTTTGCATCCTATTTTTCTGAGGGGGTAGGGGGTAAGCTGTTTTAATGGGTAGGATAAATTTTTTGGCGGGTTATCTATTAAATTTTGAGACGAAATAGAACAAAATTTAATGCTGTAAAAATTAATACTTTTATTATAGTATTATTATAATACAATTCATCCCAAATCTATATATTGCAAATAATAATACACATTGTTTTCCAAATAAACTATCCTTTTAAATGTAATTTAAAAGGTTTAGATATTTCAGCAAGCTCATAATGCCATAATAATTAATTCATTGTAAATAATGGAGGTTTTAAATGAATATATTATCTAAAAAATATTCACAAATCGATAGTTGGTAGTAGAGATAGATTAATTTAAATTATCCTTTATAAATTCTTTGAAAAGAGTATCAATAAATAAATAGGTGAAAATAACAATAAAGAGACAAAGCCGCCGAAGGCGGCGAATTTTTTAGGGGGGTAGGCAAAGATTTTTGAAGGGGGTTTGCATCCAGTAAAAATCTTGTCATGTAGACGCTGAGCATAGACTCTACCAGTGGTTGGCGAAATTTTCTTGCATCAAAACCGATATCCAATAGTAATTTTTTCTTCGAGATTAAAGTATTTTTTGAATTTTGGGAATGGATAATCTATATTTTTCTCATTTTCCAAAGAAATTTCACTATCTTCAACAATCTCACATATTTTTAATAACAAGATTTATAATGATAACTAGATTTATGATGTATATTTTTAAATATAAATTTAAATTTCAAAATTAAAATAAATAAAAGGATTATAATTTTAGATTTAATAAAAAATATATTTTAATAATTTTTAGATGTATTTATTATGTAAAATTAACTACTTTCTAAATTAGTAGCGAGCTACCTCTATCGCTATTTCCTAAAAAATGTAGCCAGCTAAAGCTACCGCTACTAAAAAAGGTAGCACGCTATTTTAACAACACTGGTTGCGGGAAACGCACTATAATTATAAGTTTATAAAATTCTGGATATTCAAGTTTTTTTGATTCCCAATATATAAAAACCGATGATTTATTAGATTTAAATGCAACTAAATCAAAAATTGGTTATTTGGTTATTTTACGTATTTAAATATAGGAAATAGGAATGCTCTAATACTATATGAAGTGGTTAAAAGATTGTGGATATTTAAGTCATAGTGAAAAATTAATACATATTTCTTATGGATATTAAACAAATATTTTGATCATTAAATAATTATAAATAACGACAAAATTGGTAAAATATGCAATACACCATAAGAAAAAGAATGTTAAAAATTATAAAATTATTTATTTTATGGCTGAAATCGGCTTAACCTGGTTCCAACTGATTTAACTTTTTATAAAGGTTCTTTTTACTCCTTCAAAGTATAATTGTATCTGTTCAGATATTTATAAAGATTTATGATTCTTTAGCAGTTCATTCTAGGTCACTCTGGGTCCCTGTTTGTGATAGAATACCTTTCAATTTACAAAAAAAAACCTTTCATATTTCTTCATAAATAATTAATCAACTGCATTATGTTGCCCTTTGCCTGATAAAGATATATTAATAATATTTAAGAATAGGAACGAATTATGGTATTTTTAAATATTATCGATTCTATTGTTTTTTAAATTAAATTATTTATAATGAAAATCTTAAGGGTTTTAATTAATTTAATCCCTATATACTCTTGATTTATCTTATTATCATTAATGTGGTTTAAATTTGTAGGCAAAACAATATCAACGATAATACATATCTATGTTTGTATTTTAACATTAGTAATACTTATTATATTATTAAAAACTGTTAACTATAAAAATTTCGAATTATAAAAAGTGATTTAGTCATACATTCATATTTTGTTTAAACCAATAATATCAAAGAATAAAAATGTTTAACCAATCAGTATATATATTAATTAACGAATCAATAATATTCTAAAATTTATTGTATTTTACCTTTATATATTACAATTTTTTTATTCGATTTTTGAATCTATACGCTATAAATAAAAAGTAGAAAATAAAATTTTATATAAATTTAATACCTACATTTTTAGATTAAATTATGGCTAGAACTAAGCAAACTGCCCGTAAATCAACTGGAGGAAAAGCTCCAAGAAAACAATTAGCTACTAAAGCAGCTCGTAAAAGTGCCCCTTCTACTGGCGGGGTCAAAAAACCTCATAGATATAGGCCAGGAACAGTCGCTTTGAGAGAAATTAGGTTTTCTATATTTTATTTAAAAAAAATCAATAATTCAAAACAGGAGATATCAAAAATCGACAGAGTTGTTGATTCGAAAATTGCCTTTTCAAAGATTAGTTCGTGAAATTGCACAAGATTTTAAAACGGATCTTAGATTTCAAAGTGCAGCTATTGGTGCTTTACAAGTTAATTAATTAATTTATATTATGAAATAATTTTTGAATAGGAAGCTAGTGAGGCTTATTTAGTTGGCTTATTTGAAGATACAAATCTATGTGCTATACATGCTAAAAGAGTTACAATTATGCCTAAGGATATTCAACTTGCACGTAGGATTAGAGGTGAAAGAGCTTAATTAAAATTAATATGCTTGACTCATAGAGATGATAAATGCAAATACTGTAGTTTTTTTTAAAAAAATATCTTCACTAATATGTAGAATAGATTTATGTTATCCCTTATTGATCTCTATATATTGCAGGAAAATAATTAGTTATGCAATAAGTATGTTTAACAATTTATATAATTAATGTTCATGTACTACAGTGGATTTTGTATATATTTATAATCTAAATTATTTTGTATATTTTATATGTAATTGTGTATAAGTTAATAAATTCATTTTTAAAATATATCCTGCCTGAATTTATATAATTATTTATAAAATTTTGTATTTTTAAATTATTTTACATATTTTCATACAAAATAGCAGGGCTGAATTCTTGACATTTTCCTGAACCCTTTTTTATAAAAATTATTTATTCTATTAATTAAGAAATTTATATAGAAAGATAATTTGCTTAAATAAAATTTTTATAAGTTATTTTTATGAATACTAGATCGACTAAAATAAGAATCCCTCATTAAAGAACATAAAAATAATATGGATTCTGGGTTAGCTGTTAATGCTGTTAATATGCTTTTGAAAATATTTTTTAATTTAAAAAGACTGGTGAATTAATAAAAAAACATTATTTTTCTCAACTATTGTAAAAAATCAGGATTCGAACCTCATTTAATAAAGTTCAGAAATGTTTCATGGTAAAAAAATTTAAGTGGGTTCTGTTCAGGAAAATATCTTTGAACCAGGTGTTGGTTCTGGGTTTTTTATATATATTTAAATCATAAATAAAAAATTAGTCATAAAATAATTTTTTTTTTTAGCCATCTTAAAATTTATAAACTTAAATTATCTTTTTTCAAAAATTATGTATCAAGGTATTAACCTTCTATCTTCATTATTTTGTTTATAAGCAAAATACATTCATTCATTGGTGTAAGAATGAATTTCAAATGTGGAAAAGATTTTCAAAGATAACCTATATTAAATATATTTGTGTGAATAAGTTAAATTAACTTCGATTGTAGGAACAGCAAATAAGATTTTTGGATAAAATATATAAATCAAAGTGCTGCAGCTTAGCAGACTCCCAAAAATGTAAATTATTTTCTTTATCCAATCTTTTAAACGCCAAATCAGTATTATGTTGCCCCTTTTTAAAGTATTTTCTTCTGACTTAAAAAAGTTGTATCAATTTACTCTAATTCATATAATAACTTTATCCAAATTATTATCATCAGTTAAAATGAGCAAGGATATGGTTTTAATCCAAATATAAATTAACAGTTTACCTTTTTGCAAAATCTTATCATTGTCACTAAGTAATATCTAATATTTAAGGGTTTTTTTAACCATTTATGTTTAAATTGAAAATATTAAAAAATTTCATTTAAATTAATATTTACAATTATACAAATATCTTAATATGATTTTAAATATAAAATTCACTGAACCTGGGTTAAAGAAATTTCTGGGTTCAATTTGGGTTTTTAGAAATTTAAAATAAGTGAGTTAGAAATTTATTTCTAAACCCCAGGTTTTTGAGTTTGGTTTGAACCCCTGAAAAATTAAAATAGATGCATATTTAACTCTAGTGCGATTCAGAAATGTAAAATTAATTTAAAAAATGATTTTTTATTTAGTTGGATATTGTAAAAAAATATCTAATTTAAAAAATGAAATTTTAAAAGGTAAGTAACTAAACTAAAACTAGGGGAAATTTTATTATTTTTTTATTAAAAAATAAAAAATATCTGATCATGTGGTGATTGATGTATTTTATTGTGACCATTAGTTTATTAATTTAACCCTTCAATACTCTGGTGAATAAAAATGATGTTTATACTTAAATGTATATATCTCCAGTTATATTCATTATTTTAATTTGATATTTGGATATACGATAGACCTAACCTTTAGCTTGATAAATTATTTTTATTTCTTAAGCCTAGATTAAAGATTATGAGTAATATTATAGTTTGTGGCAAAATTTTTTAAAAAATGCTTACTTTTTTCAAATATAAAATTAAAAAAATAACTACCCAACATATAATCATGATAATTCATAATGTGGATCTTTATTCTTCAATATAAAAAAAAATTACACTAATACATTCAAATATAAAAACGATATAAAACATTGAAATATGCTAAATTTGACATGCAAAACATTTATTACATAAAATATTAGTGTTCTAAACATAAATTTATTTTACATATTTGATAAAAATATTTTGTTTTTTATAAGGAGTATAGTTTTATGCAGGGATCCAAACCGAAATGAATATCGATTCACGTTCGGTTCGCAAAAAATAAAAATATCTGTTTCGAACCTCTAAAAACCGGTTTGAACACTTTTGTATTCAAACCTACTATGTATAAGAAAATTTTTTTTTTATTTCATAATTAAAATAAAAACCTTAATTTTTATTAATTGCACATTATAAAATGATATTTAATTTATAAATATATCAATGATTAATTTTAATATGAACAATTACTTAAAAATTTTTTATTAAGCTGCACAGTTAATATATTTTCAAATTCGTCTAACTCATATTACATCATAAGGAGATAATATAAATTTAATTGTTGAAAAACATCTTTCCACACTAACTTGGGTAGCTGGCGTTGCCAGTATGATATCAGATTTGATGTATCATTTATAATATAAAAATGTTGTAAAATGGCAATATACTAATGTTTAAAATTATGACTGACGTTTATCAATTATAGGTGATTGATAATAATTTTTAAAACAATTTGAATATAATTAAAATTTTTGCAATATACTACTAGTAATAACTTACACATTATTTTATAAGCATAAAATTATGAGACTCGAACCGGTTCAGAGGCATTTTAGCGTTCGGTTCAGGTTCGGCTAGAAATTTTTTTAGAGGTTTAGGTTCGATAAAAAATACCGGGTTTTAGAGGTGGTTCAGGTTCGGATTGGATCCCTGGTTTTATGCCATATTTTGATGGTTTATTTGGCATGTATTGCCTGAATGGGCATTTACCAGAAATGCTGGGAGCATTTCATCTAGTGTTGCATATTCTGATATTGTATAAGATCTATAGCAGTTATCAACAAATTCTTGAAAAATATCTAATGTGAGTTGCTTTGTTTATTATTTTTCTCTCTTTTCGTTAATATGTCATCAAATCTTATTGTATGAATTAGAAATCTGAATCCTTTGAGTGTCATTGTTGCTCTAAATATCTAAATTCCAAACCCATCAGATTTCCATAAATCTGACTTATTTTGATGATTTGATTTGAAAATTCTAGCTAAATAAAGAATTCCCAATAATGCTTTGAATTCTATTACATCAACCTCTTTAGTTGAACTTTCATATTAATTAGTGTAGTTTTTATAATTTTAATTTTTTTATTTGTGATAAATAATTTCTTCAATCATTTTTGGTGATATGAAAAAATCAAAACATTTTTCTGGGGTGTCAGCTTCTTTCCCATATTCTTTTACTCCTGGCATATGGAAAATTAAATTTTGTTGATATGTTCTAACTCTTTGATTTACAATCCTTTTCCCATTGAGTCACCTTATTTTTAACTATAATTAATTTTACAGAAAAATAGATATGATAAATAATTCCATATTTACCTAAATAATATTTAAGTTTTTTGTCTGTTCCAACTAGCATATCTTCGTCTTCATCTAATTCAGATTGTGTTTCATCATCACTATCATAAATAAAATCTTCTCCCTTACTATCAATTACATAGTCATGATCACCTCAAATAAAATGATATTACATCTTTAATAATTTTTTATTTATTATCAGAATCTGCAAAAATCATAGTATATGATAAAAATAATTTGAGAAATGAGCCAGATGGTGAAAATAAGAATAAAATAACTCCACCAAAAAAATGTTTAAGTTTTCTTTTTCATATATCTCAATCAAAATAAAAGATATTTAAATTTTGTTTTAATTAATTTTATAATATATTAGTATATATTTATAATTTTAAAAAAAATTACAAATTTACTCTGGTCGGGTCTCACAAACCCCAATCCGTCACAAAATGCTTATATCTTAATAACTACTCAACCGTAATATATGAAATTTGGAATATATATTCTAAGATATATTTGATGAAGCTACTGAAGAATCCAGATCATAATATCTAACCGTTTTTATGTAATTTCATTTCTAGTATGTCTGGGGTTTCATATATCCCCCCAGAGTATTGAAGGGTTAATGTATAATATTTTTTAAAATTTAATAAATATTTTTACCAAGATCATAATCGTATATACAAGAACCATGGCTTTTTTACTTGTTAATCACTGTAGAAAAATGCAGCATCTTGAATAAGATGCTCAACATGTTCAAGCAGCTATTCTGTTATTATTTAAATTTAGAAGGAAAAAAGGAAGTTATATATAGTTTACATTAAATGTAGACAAATTATAATAATCCTCAAACAACGTCAATCAAATTTAGCCAATAGTGTTCTTTTAAAAGATATTTGTTCAATAAAAATGATTATAGTGTAATCGGTCCAATAGTAATCACCTTACCAAACTCAACATTCATTCAATTTAGCTATCAGTTCTATTTATAAATCATATGGAAAACTCTAAAATATTATTATGGACAGAATAACTAATTAAATTTTTTTATAATTATTCATTAATTTTATATTTAGATTTACCATCAAATATAATTGATTTTGTTACATTTAAATCCTATAAATAATGATTATAATCAAAAATTCACTAATATATTGAAACAAATACTCTAAAAAGATAAGCACACTATTTATTAATTATATATTTTCTTATTTCTCTATTCATACCAATAATCTATGTAAATTACTGCCAATCAGTGGATCCTGCCTAATTTTACTGTCAAACAGTGGATGCAAATTCACTGCACTGGATACACCCTTGGAAGCCACTTAATTGTGTGTTTCCCCAGTAAAGGACAACCAGTTCTAACACATTTTACCATGAATGTCTCTAGGAATTTAGGAGTAAAACAATTAATGAAATGTTATCGAAATTTGTTAGCAAAACATTTTTAAAGTATACTTTGATAATATCTATTTAGGAAGAGGATTCTGAATATAATATGAATAGAGGCTATTTTGACTTCTCTCTATTCTAATTGCTATGTATACCTAATAAATTAAGACTCTGGATTTTGACCCATAGCAATTATTTTTGCTAATAATCTTCTAAATAGCA